AGGAGGAGGAGGAGGAGGAGGAGGACATGAACCTATGCTCGGCGTGTCGCGCCGCCGCTTCTGGCCCACCGCGCTCCGGCGCGGCCCGCGAACCACCGACCAAGCCCCCACGGCGTCGACGCGCCGAGCCTCTCTCGAAGCCCCCCGCCCCGCGGCGCTCAGCGCAAGGCGCCGTCCGCCTGCAGGGCGTGGCGTGCCGCCGGGGCAGCCGCGGCGACGCGCTGCGCAACGACCGTTTTTTGATGCCGCGAGGCGCCGGGCGGCCCGCCGCTGATTTGCACAACGGCGAGCCCGACCAGCACGGCGTCGACGACGACTGCGCTGACGACGAGCACGACGGCGACGACGACGATGACGACGGCGGGGACGACGGCGTCGACGACAGCGACGTCGTCGTCGGCGTCGACGGCGGCGACGACGACGTCGATCACCACGGCGAGCACGACGAGCACGACGGCGACGACGACGACGATGGCGACGGCGGGGACGACGGCGTCGACGACAGCGACGTCGTCGTCGTCGGCGTTGACGGCGGCGACGACGACGTCGATCACCACGGCGAGCACGACGAGCACGACGGCGACGACGACGATGGCGACGGCGGGGACGACGGCGTCGACGACAGCGACGTCGTCGTCGGCGTCGACGGCGGCGACGACGACGTCGATCACCACGGCGAGCACGGCGAGCACGACGAGGATGCGCGGCACCACGTCGACGATTGCGCCGGCGACGAACACCATGGCGACTAGCATCAGAGCCCCGAATGATCAGGGGTAACTCGGGTCAGGGCTAACTCGGGCTCCTTTTTCGGGAATCCAAGCCCGAGTTACCCCGGACCCGAGTTACCCCGGATAACTCGGGCGCCCAATAGCACGGCAGCGGCAACGGCGGCGGCGACGACTGCAACGGCGGCGGCGGCGACGACGAGCGGGGGCCAGCTGCCGCTGCCGCCCGGCTTCGACGCCGCCCACATGCACTGGCACAGCGACGAGCTGCCCAGGCCGCTCCCCCGCCGCGCCCAGGGTGAAGGATGGAGGATCGGAGGATCGGAGGTCGAGGGTCGAAGGTCGAGGATCTGAGGGTTCAAGATCCAGGATGGCGCTCGGGAGCTTTTGGATAGCGTGTCGCGCCGCCGGTTCTGGCCCAGCGCGACTCGGTGCGACACGCTATCCACGTCGCGGTCCTCTGGCGTCCACTTCCCGACCTTTTCGTCGCCTCCCGCCCCGCGGAGTAGAGCGACGCGCTATCCACTCGCAGGGCAGTGCGTGTCGCCAGTGCCGTCGTGCCGACGCGCTATCCGCCAGTTCCCGACCGTCTGCGGGCGTCTGCGGGGAAAACGTCTACGGCTCTGTGAGCACGATGGAGCCTCAAACGGCTCGCGGGGCGGCGGCGTGCTTCCTGGCCACCCCGGCCAGAGGAAGCCCTCGGGGACAAGCCAGCCCCCCCCCCAAAAAAAAGTGTGGCGATCCAGACAGGCGCCTCCAGCGTGCCCCCCCGGTAGCCAGTAGGGCGGATGCGAGGGCCGCCCCGTGGCGCTCCCGAAGGGCCCCCTCCGGGAAGGAGCACTCCCTGGCCTCCCCTCGCGTGGGCCTTCCTCGGGGCGTTCCGCGCTCTCGTCTGGGAAGCGGAAGTCTCGGAGGAGGAGGAGGAGTCGGAGGGGGAGGAGGAGGAGGAGGAGGAGGAGGAGGAGGAGAGGAGGAGGAGGAGGAGGAGGAGGAGGAGGAGGAGGAGGAGGAGAGGAAGGAGGAGGAGGAGGAAAAAGCAGGAGGCAGGAGGAGGAGGAGGAGGAGGAGGAGGAGGAGGAGGAGGAGGAGGAGGAGGAGGAGGAGGAGGAGGAGGAGGAGGAGGAGGGAGGCGGAGGAGGAAGCAGGAGATGTCGGTGGAAGCTCATGGTAGCAATCAATCTTCAGAGTATATGAGCGTGCGCTAGCGTCTGGTGATCGATAAATAGGTGCCGATGTTAGCGTCGATTAGCGTATTTTTGCAGCGCCGACTAACGTCGAATAGCGTCGATTCGCAAGAGTCAGGCAGATGGCACGTGAGGCTCCCATGAGTTGCAACCGATGGAGGGGGCTGGAGGTTCAGGGGGCCGCAATTATGATAATTTGTTATGTGAGGGGGTGTTCAGGGCGATCCTTTCGCTACTGCTCACATCCACACGGCTTTTCCTCACCTCCCTCTGCCCTTCCCTCGTCTCTTCTGTCCATGCTCGCGATCCTCATCTTGCCGCTCATCTCCTTCCTCCCTGTCATCGTTTTTCGTCTTCTCCCTTGTCCTGTCCCGTTCCCCCTCTCCCTTTATTAGGCTCCCGTTGTCATTTATGACGCATCAATTCCCCCCTTCGTCTCTCTCATGTGCTTCTCCCCTGACCTCTCTCCATCCTCCTCTCTTGTCCCTCCATTCCCTCTCCTTTTGTATCCCTTTCCCCTCGCGCGTTTGCTCTCATCCATCGGTCAGTTCTGCGCCGGCTTGAGGCTGTTTGGCATGACGAGCACCACTGGCAAATCCTCAGGCGACGAGGACCCGGATGCCTGTGCGGACATCCTGGCTAGGACCGCTCGCTTCCGCCGATGTTTCTCTGCGCGCAGGCGCGCGCACACGCGCACGCGCTTCTACTCTGGCGCGCGGACGGGACACAGTCGGCGGGTAGCAAACACCCTCGGGTCATGAGAAAATCATGACGGAAGTCTTTTCGCTGGTTCAGGGTTCTTCGAGCACCTGCTGCCGAAGCGTTGCCCGCTCATCCCAAATTTCCCCACCGTACCGCCCGTCACCAGGCTCGTGCAATGAACCTGCAGTCCGTTCTGGTGCCACCCGGCCTTTGACTTTGCCCCGGTCCGAAATCGGGCTTGATCTGGTTTATTCCCGCTTGATCCTGCTAAATCCCGCTCAATCCGCGGCCTAGTCCAGTGTAGCAGCCCCCCCAATGAGGCTCAATTCTCCCCAATCCTTCCGACGGAGACCTCCCAGTAGTTGCCCACTAACGCCTGTCAGCAGTCTTGAAATGAACCTGCAGTCCGTTCTGCACCACCCACAAAACCACCCCTACCTAACCCGAAGGCCCTAGTTTGCCCTCCATTTCCAGTGGGGGGGGGTCGGGGAACATTGAATAAATACGTATGGAACCCGTACCCCCCCCAAACCCGAAATTCGAGTCTTCGGGTTGGGTTGGGGTGGTCTGGTAGGTACAGTGGAGGCCCATGCCAAGAAACCCCTTGCTTGCCTCCAGGGTGCCCTGGGTCTCTTGGGCTGCCTGGCTTCCGATGGTTCTGCGACGGGAAGCGTGACGCTCCCGCACCGGAAGCCAGCGAAGGCCCTGGGGTCTCAGGGTTGGGGGTTTCCTGTGGAGGGTCTCGTTTGCTCGGGCCCCCATGCTGTGGCCGGTCCCGGTTTACCAGCCTTGAACGTATCCCTATCCTTAAGATTGACACGCCCAAAGGCGATGACAATCTCAGGGATTCGCCCTCAAAAAATAAGGGAATCCCTAAGATTGGCATCGTGATGAGGAGGTGCCCAGCATAGGGATGGGGATATGTTCCAGGCTGGTACCTGGTGCCATCCGGCCGCCGCAGCGCAGTCGACTCGACGGCCAGCCGGCTGCACGCCTTCTCGCACGGCGCGCCACGCTGCGCGCGGGGGGGGCAGCGCGGCGCCCGGCAGAGCCGAGCCACGGCGGGCGGCGTAGACGCGCTCGGCGAGCACGTCACAGCGCGCCCGCGCGCGTGGCGGGCACGCGGCGCCTGCGAGGCGCAGCACGGCACTCCTCGCCACCCACCAGGCCACCCTGACCCAACCCGAAGACCCCAAGCTGTCCTCCATCCCCAGCGGGGTGGGGGGGCGTCGGGGAACACTGAAAAGACGCGCGGAACCCGCACCCCCCCCCTCAACCCGAGATTCGGGTCTTCGGGTTGGGGTGGTCTGGTATGTATTCAACTCCGGGTCCATACCTCGACCCAGGCGATCCGATTCGATTTCGATCTCGGCCGACTCGGTACAGGCTACAACAGGCTAAGGGGGTCCCAAGATGGCTCAAGACGGTTCCAAGAGGCCCCGAAGACGCCCAAAATGCCCTCAAGACGGCCGACGAGGACGGAATCAAGAGGCTCCCCAAGAGGGCCCTGGTAGGCAAAATTCATTAATTTTCCGGAGGGTTTTTGAAGGATATGGGCGTTCTCGCTTTTCCCGCTTCCCAGCGCTCGCTCACGGCCTAGGAGGCCCTTCAGATCGCTCCAAGACGGCCCACGAGGCCCCAAGAGGGCCCCAAGACGGCCCAGCAGGCTCCCCAGACAACCCAAGTGTGCCCCAAGAGCGCCCCAAGAGGGGACCCAGAGGGGGACCGCGGACCGATATTTCGAGAAGCCCCGTGAGGCGCCCCAGAAGCCCCTAGGAAGCCCCAAGAGGTCCCCAAGGGGCCCCCAGGGAACGCCCAAGAGGCCCCCCAACACACTTCAACTAATCATGTCCCCAGAAAGCCTTCTGGGGACACGGCTCATCATGTGCCCGAGAGTCTCCAGAGGCTCCG